GTGTGCGTGTGTGTGTGTGTGTGTGAGTGTGTATGTGCGTGTATGTTTTAATGTCTTAGTTTTTGGTTGTTGCTGTTGCTGTTGTTGTTGTTGCTGTTGTTGTTGTTGTTGTTGCTGTTGTTGTTGTTGTTGTTGTTGTTGATGTTGTTGTAGTTGTTGTAGTTGTTGTTGTTGGTGGTGGTGGTGGTGGTGGTGGTGTTAAACCTATGGAATCAAGGGCCATATGGTACATTTTCTATCCTTTATGAATGTGTCTTCACCGCTTTCCCTTCCCTCCAACCCCTCTTTAAAAATAAAAAAGCAACATTATATCTGCCCTACTTTTCTTCTTTAAAGTAAATTAAAGACAGCGTGAAGCAGACCATAAAGCTCGTACACCAGAAGAAAAAAATACCCCAAATCAGCAAACCACCCATCCAGATCAGGGGCATTCATTAAGTTATCACGCCAACCGATACTCACCGCGCATTACTTGTAATCAATGTAGTGGCAGCGGCTTCCCGAATTTCTAAAGAGCCTTTGTGGAATGTCAAATCTGGAGGTAAAGAGAGAATAATCCATGAAAGAAAGGCACCACATGACTGCACTGAGATCGTTCTCTGGTGGTTTGAGCCTTTGTTCATAATCTTTTCTCAGAGTATGGACCTGGTTTGGAAAAAAACAAACATAAGCTAGCTCTATAGGAACACTGGCAGGCACTGACAGGTCGTATAGACCTAGGAGGGGGGAGGGTCATTTGGTGATCCCTATGTTTTCATCTTAATGTTTTTCTCTTGCGTCTTAAAGTTATCTCTTTATTTCATGCAAGGGCAAATCCAGGTTGAAATAACCATTAGACGCTAGCACAAATAATAGAGATAGTCTATCAAATATAATATGCCCCCCCCCCCTTTTTTTTAGAGAGAAAAGGACTCGTGGCATATGCTTGCAGAAGGGGGAAAACGCCCAAACATTACACCACAGACGTCATTGAATTAGATACCTCACATGTGAAATGTAAACAGGGGCGGCTCCTGATCTGTAGAACTGACCGTCTGTCACTCACTAACTTACATGTACTTGTGAAACTGCCAGGTGTAATCAATCGTTGAAACTCGTGATTACAACTCGGCAATTTCAATCGTAAGATACGTCATCAGGGTAACATAGCTTTTTTAAGAGCATCCAAGGAGAGGAATGAATGAAAGACCATGATCGTCGATGTCTGCTGCAGATCTGGCATTTGATGTGGATGATAATTATTCATGTAATGTATTATATAATTATTTTTTTTTAAAAAATATATATATATTACACACTACGTGTATATGAGTCTTTCCTGAGAGAATAGGATGTACATGTATTATTGAAGGTGGACTTTTGCTTGTTATTACATACTCGAAAAAAAAAGAAAATGAACATGATGCAATTTTCTTCTTTCTATTTTCCGATTTTAATAGTTTTGATATACAATGTATATCAAAATGCTCATAATCAGAACAGTGAGCACAAACAAGTTACAAATATATGTTGATTGTTTTTGAGAGGATAGGAATAACATTTTACCCCGCTTCAAACATATCGCTCGCCCAGTCCTATGTGACCCTGTGTGTGAACGTGCTGTCCATAACTTTCATTGTGCTGTACAAGGAGCAGTCTAGCTTAACATCCTATGTAAATAGAATATATCAATTACAGTCTTCCAAAAGGGTGTACTTGTAAATGTAAATGCATAAATGTCTAACAACCTCATCAACACAATATAATTTAATAAATCACCCAAGGAGCAGACTGCTTCAACCTTGCCTGGCAGGACCAACTTGCGCGGAGAGGGATACACTTTCTAACAGACAGACATAGATAAACAAATCAAATCTAATCTTCCCTCTCGGGAATTTTTTCAGTCTGTTATTTTATTTTGTTGCGCTCTGTTGAAGGCCAGGCTTGCGCTCGGAGCAGAGTATTTTTAAGATCTTTAATTCAGTGTCCTCACATGATACTAGGTCCTGGTTCCGGAATCATGTCAAGAAGGACAGTATTCCTACATCCACAAAAATACAAATGCAGCCTCCCTTGACAAGAGTTAAATGTCAGCGCGGCTAAATTAAAAGGATTGGTTTCAAGGAATCTCAACGGCTCACCTGTGGAATTTGTCGACGGTTCTGCCCTTCGCCAAAGCAGAAGACACAGAGCACACAAAACTGTCAGTATCACCAAATTGTGCCGTTTGTTCCTCAGAAGCCATGACCCAAGTTTTGGAATCATGTGTCGTGGCATGGTGTTGATCTGTGGAGAAAGAAATTTTACTATGATGAAGACCACATAGTTTTCTCCAGATTTACGGGTCTGGACTTTTGTACACCTTTTTGGTTGTTTGGGTAAAAAGGAGCAGATCGACACAATAACGGTCATCTAGAGCAGAGAAAAAGATAAACTGGCAGACAGAAAACAACAGAGGGAAAGACAAAAGAGTAGGACGTACCAATGGCGCCACCCCCACCCCCCCAAAAAAAAACCAAACACTCGCCAGTGACGTCAAAAGTCACTCGGATTCACTGGGAAGTACAACTTACATCCGAACTGTACGACAAAATGACATAGATCTTGACTGCTGTGTTAGTAGAAGGAAATGTTACAGGTGACAACTTTCGGGGCAAATGTATGTGTATGGTTTGTTTGTTTATTTCTTTATTTGTTGTTGTTTCTTTTTTAGTAAAGAGAGGTACATCGACAAATTAATGGCCCTTTGGCGCTGGAAAAGACAGACTTACAGAAACAATGGAGGGAAAGTAAAGAAGTAGAACCTACCAGTGGGGTCCTCCAACAATCTGCTGTGTGATTAGAAATTCACTTTGGTACATTTTTTCGCTTGATTGTTAGTTTGCGTGAAGAGATGCACATCGACATAATAACGGTCATTTGATGCAGGGAACGAGTAATACAGACAAACAGAAAGACCGAACCTAAAGAAGGAAAGAAAAGAAGTAGGACCTGTCAAGGGAGAATGAAGAACAGACAGACAAATACAAAGGAGGAAAAGAAAAGATGCAGGACTGACAAGAGGCGCCATCCAACAGCACGCCAGGTTTTGCGTCATAAAAAGCCTCATGAAATTGTGATGTGCTAAAGCGTGAGACCTTTTACTGGTTGACACTGGTATGGAAGTGGGGGGGGGG